GTATACTTCTGTATCTAGCTTACATAAAGAAGTATACAAAGTTTGTATACTTCTGTATCTAGCTTACATAAAGGGGTGTACTAAGTGAGTTCAGTTTTTTCCATACTGATACTGTAAACGGTACACAGCATATCTTTGCGTACAGATGGGGTATCAATGGGAAAACAAGAGGAAAGATTTGTTTCAACGAGGGTTTCCGTAAAATAGATACACCGTCGTTAAATCTTCCGTGGACTGCAACTGCGTGAAAGACCACGGGATATACCAGATATTGTGCGGTTGATATATTATTACGTTTTTCTTTATTTTCACTCAGAAATGCTTATAATTTCAGTATTAAATAGTGAAACTCCTATCGGATTATCTTTTACTTGCAAACCACCGGCAGATAAAATACATGAGAATTATTTAATGTCAAGATAAAGAAGAGTACACCTGTCCAACATGATCACCACTAATTAAACTGATAAACAACAAGCTGTGTGTAAAGAAGCAGCCTATAACTATTGTACAATAAACCCATTGGTTATTACAAAATTTGTCATTCATACTTACTTCACTTTTATTATGTTTTCTTCAAATATTCTTGTTTGAAACTGTTTTATTTTGGTCTAAGTAGGGTGCAGCTAGTCAGCAGTACCCTACTGTACACGCTAAGGGATTGACTGTGACTCTTATAATGCATCCACAGTTTAAAGTGCCAGGAATATTTTGTAGTATCGCATGGATTCAAAGCCGACTCGCCAACTCCGAAATCCGGAGCTCTAATACAGAGCCAACCTACGCCCACTTAATAATGATGTGCGAGGATGTTTCACAGGATTAAGTTTTATTTTTTAGACAAGGTTTTATTCTGCTGTAATATTTAATTATCTTCTCATTTCAACTTCATCTTTACAAATATTTGAGCTGTCTTGTTAGGATACTTGTCAAAATCAATAACGGCTTCATTTCATACAAGGAAATTTAAATAAGACACTTTAGTTGCACGAAGTACCTCGCGCATGATGAGAGTATCGGCTTTGGGTGATGAGGTTAGCTCATCACCAATGTACGATAATTAAGATGAATGCTCTGTCAAGTTGTTATTTTTCAATAAGAGAGTCTTCTCCAGCAGCTAACCCTGTATTCATGGTTTACTGAACAGAAACATGTTCACTATACACGAATTCTTCTTCCTTTCCCTATTAACTCAAGAATTAGACTATGAAGACAAGCAAAGTAACAAAAAAATCTGAAATTCTTATTACGTTTCCAAAAAAGTAGAAATAAAACTTGTAAAATTTAAGATTATAAAACACATAAACATAATGTGACTGATTAAGCAATGATAACTTTTGTAAAAACTTGAAATGCGTTTTTTTGTTGTTTTTCAGAATAAATATCACAAATATATATATATATATATTGTTAGGCCTGGCATGATATGGCGGTTAGGGCGCTCGATTCGCAATCTGTGCGTCGCGGGCTCAAATCCTGACAACGAACATGCTCGCCTGATAGGGATGCTGAGCGGCTGACCCCAAATCTAGATGGGATTAAGGTCAACTAAAGAAGAAGAGTATATATTTGTATATAATAAAAGCCTTTTTATAAATACCTGAGCACTGTAACACAAGAGTATTTTAAGTTGTATTACGAAGTAATTCAGCCCACATTACATAGTAAAACTGGTATCAGGATTAGATTAGAATATTTTAAATTTAAACATGAAAACATCGTAGCCTATATTGGATGACAAAACCCGTATCTCGACTATTTTACATTGTATTATGAAAACTTCTCTTCACAGATTGAAGAAAAAAATCCCATATTATGACTAGCTGAGCACAATAGTTTTGCTCACTGTCTGCTACTTTCAGGTCGAGCAGTGTTTCCCAACCTGGGCGATACCGCCCCTAGTGGGCATTTTCAAATTCAGTGAGGCAGTAAACTTTGAGGGGGCGGACAGAAAAGTTTTGAGGGTTTCAAAGTTATATTTATTAAAATTAAACCATAATAATTGAATATTATTGACTATTATTGCCTTACAATTTCATTTTAGTAAAATATTTAGTGGTATAAAAATTTATTAGAAGAGGGCATGAACGCTCATTGTTTTCTGAAGGGGACGCTGCGGCGAAAAAGGCTGGAAAACACCGAGGTAGAGAAAAACAGCTACAGTCATGGATCTTAAAGAAAGAATACAAATCCCACTATATAACATTAAAACTGCTTTTCTGCTCATGTTACCAATCACTCATCCGATGAAATCAGACCTGAGGGAGTTTCGATCAAATATGTTGTGTGAAAAGAAATCAATATGATATCAAACTGGAGACACAGATATATTATTATTATAATCAATGTCATATCTTTAAAAGTGATATGTTCACATTATGTACACACGTCCATAAACCGCTTTATTGTTTGACAGTTTGAAAATCTAACGTACATAGAACGTGTACGTTCTCCACAATTTTTACCCTGGGGATATTCTGTAAATTGGAGAAGCTGAACGTGTAGACAGCCTTCAGTTGAATTTTATGAGGATTCGGGCACTCAACTGTGAAGATTTAATTGAAGAGGAATTCACTCTGCATATCTGTTTGTATAGATAAGCAGCCAGTAGCAAGTAATTGTCAAGTACATATTTTCTCATGGCTTATCCATAGATTAAAGCTTCAGAATAATACGTAGTCGTGCCTTGAAAACATTGGATTGTGAAACCACCGATATTGACTCAACACACGCATGTATTAATTACTCTGTTGCTTTTCATACGCATATCTCCTAAAGCATTCTAATCAGTCTTGTATACGAAACATTATTGAACGATAATCCACTAAACAGAAAACTCACTAGTAATAATTAAAAAAAAAGTTATATGTTCTTTAAACTTTAGTTGAAGTTTACTAAAATAGTTCTAAAATATTATGATTTTTATTTACCAGTTGTGCTAGCTCCGGGATTGGCTTATATAATGTTATATGTTAATATAACTCGTTACCTTGAACTTCTTAAAATATAAATGACAATAACTGACCTTTCTATAGTTTTGTGTGTTGTGGTATCTATGTGCTCTAATTTGTTAATTGTTAAATGTTATATTATTTGTTATATGATGTGATATTTCACTCGTAATCTACGGATTAATAAATAATATATGATGAAACTGACCTTTGCGACATGATGTGTTATATCGTTCGTGTTCTAAAACTAACCAAATGTTAACGAATGAAACTGACTTTTGTGACATGATGTTTTATATCGTTCGTGTTCTAAAACTAACCAAATGTTAACGAATGAAACTGACTTTTGTGACATGATGTGTTATATCGTTCGTGTTCTAAAACTAACCAAATGTTAACGAATGAAACTGACCTTTGTGACATGATGTGTTATATCGTTCGTGTTCTAAAACTAACCAAATGTTAACGAATGAAACTGACTTTTGTGACAAGAGGTGTTATATCGTTCGTGTTCTAAAACTAACCAAATGTTAACGAATGAAACTGACCTTTGTGACATGATGTGTTATATCGTTCGTGTTCTAAAACTAACCAAATGTTAACGAATGAAACTGACTTTTGTGACAAGAGGTGTTACATCACCCCCTATTCTAAACTTGACAAGTGCTAGCGAGTCAAACCGACCTTTGCAACAGGATATGTTTTATCACTTTTATCAAACGTGCTACCTGTGACCTTAAATATCATCTGATATTTAAACTCACCTATGATTTTAAGCTTAATTAAGTAGCTGACTTCTCGGTCATTTTCTCCCTTGTATTGACATCTATACACTCCTTCGTCAACCTTTTCTGACACATCCTGCAAAGTCAGGGTTCCGTCGCCCTCAACTCTTTGTTGGTGATTGACTGGAAGGACAGCTCCATCTGTAAAACATAGGTTGATCTCTACTTTTCGAGTTCCCAGATAAATCATTGAATCGCGACTACCTTTAAAAAACTGCATCTTGCAAAGAAAGCGATGTAAAACAGATACGTGCATAAATATACGGGTAAGAATGTGCAAGATCAAAGCGTGGCTTCAATTTTTTATTTTTATTTTTGAATAGCTGTGATCTAAGGTAAGCATTTTACAGTAGATATTTCAGGAAATCTTATTTTGTTGATATCGAATGGTGAGGAATTTTAGACAGCCGAATATGCCGGTAAAGAAACATAGTTTAAGTTCATTGACTTTTTTTGTGACATGCGATTGCTCAACAATGAATAGCTATGAGTAAGATGGTCTTTGCATGTGGTCGTCTTACCCCACACTATATCTCTGTTCTTTTGCGTCATTGTCCTAAAAATGCTCAACATGCGTATGACGCATGGCCTTCCCGACCTCTACTAGAATTATATAAATGGAGATTTAAGTAATTCACATACAGTTGCTACGCGCAGCATTTATTTTAAATTGCAGTTGTGAATAGGATAGGGCCATTATACCCCATTTTGGGGATTCATTTTATCCAAATTTATAACTAAAATGGTCCCAACCTAAAAAAAGTTAATTTTTCAATATCTAAAAAGGTCTATACCAAATCTTTCTTTTAACTAAAAATGACACTAATGATAAATAATGGTTTATCTTGATTAGTGAAAACCACATTAAAAGTTGAGGTGGCCGTCTTACCCCGCCTTCCACTACTTCAGTAATCATAATTTATCTTCTAGTAAGCTGAAAATGTTTCTGTTTCGTCTAACTTAATAAAAATAATTATTTTGCCTCATAAGAATTGTGGTATCAATTGAGGTTAAAGTTGAAAGCTTATATTTTCGAATATTATTTCAAATCATTTTTACTTAAACATAAAATATACAAATATCAAATCAACATATCCACTGAACGAAAAATTCTTGTATTATTTTATATTTCTAAACATTTGTTTAGAAAAACGTTGAAGGTAATCTTAAAATATCTTAATGTAAAATAGGGAATAAATGGTTCAAAACTATTATGGTTTCAGTTAAAGTATTGTTTTATTAAGTTATGAGAATCAAGAATCTTGTTCTGTAACTTTAGTAGAACAGTTCAGTTAACATGAGTAAGATTTATCTTTTTCCATAACATTTAACTTCTTTTTTTTTGTCTTACCCTTTAACCAAGTGACTTTTTCTTTGGACATTTCGTAATTGGGACACTGAAGTTTAGCTGTTTTCCCTTGAACCACAGTTTCTTTACGCATGTCCTGGGTATGACGTCTATTTCTGGCAACAACGTGACGTTCGTGTCTTCTTTTGGACTTTTGATCATTAGAGTTAAACATAAAATCGACATTTCTATTGATCACCTGAAGAGGATTATTGACAAAAGAATAAATCCTCCATCGATAGTTATATTTTTCTGTTGTTGGTACATGACCAAAATGTCTTAATGTATTTTCCTTTACTGTTCTTAGAATACGAACTCTCTTTGTAAAGCAAAAATGCCCCAAAAACGATCGAAGTGATTGTCCTACTGGTGTCCAGTGATCAAAACCTTCTGAATGAAACGCATCATAACCTAGATGATGAACAGAAATCAATTATATTTAAAAGTTTAATAGAAAATTTTAGATTTAATCAATGATAAGATACTTACACTAGGTGATAGTGATGCAAAATATACAATAAGAAATTAAATTAACTTTTGAGTTCAAACAAACATTCCAAATGCAACTACGGTAAAAAAAACTACAGTTTAGTGAAGACAACTTGAAAGAAGTTCTTAACAACATATATAAAAAAGTTGAAAACTGAACAACTCATCATTGAAGCTTCACAGAAGGTGAATTGTGATTGATATATAGTATATACAGAAGTAAAACATACGTTGATTAGACTAAATTGACTATAACTTGTTAAACATCGTAGGATTAAGAATTAGATCTTTGATTCTAATTATATTTTGTATAGACATTTTCAGAGACATTCTAACCGTATAGTTTCAAATTATACCTTTCAATATATCTTCAAATTATCTGTGAAATGTAATCATTGTTTTATGTATATATATATATACAGTGTCATTGAGTTTTATTTATATGGATTAATAATCCTGCAAAAACCTTAATATTACCGATTTCTGTAACTAAACACGAACGTATCATTATTCTTATAGTATAAATTAAAAAATATCTTGTAACATTTTCATCGTGAAGATGATTTGTATTTAGTTCACTTAAACTTGCATTAATCCTCATCTCGAATTGAGGTTACGTATCACAGTGGCCATTCTATAGAGTTTAAGATTGCTTGGCTATGCTTTTTTGGGGGGCCATACTCAGGATAAATGGTGGTACAGAAGTGTGTACAAGTTAATATCAGCTGGTCTTTCCTTGAATATGCATAAGGAGAATGATCAATGGATTTGGTCATCCAGAATTGTTAGTGGACTTTGATCAAACTTTAGAATGTGGTATAAACAAAACATTGCAGTCTTTTATCTTGTGAAAACGTGTTCTTCTTTTGGTTAGAAGCCAGATTGATCTAGAATTACACTGAAGCTGACCATCACTGAAGTAAAACCTCAATACATCTATTTTAATTTGTGTACAAAAGAAAAACTGTTTCTTTTAATATAAATATATAATATTCCAATAGTTAAAAAGGAAATTATGCACAAGCATTTCTGCTATTTAGCACTCAAAATATTTGATAATTTGCCTTTAATGATAAGACATGAAAATAGTATACCTAAATTTAATGTAGTAGTAAGAGAATGCTGAAGTTGAGGTATGGACGTTACATAATAGTATGACAAGAACTATGAGAGACTTTTTCTGAACCAAGTTCTTTTTAATATCCATGGTGAGAGCTATGTAAATATTTGATATCAGACAACAGTTATCTCAGAATCACTTCTTTACAATGATGGTGAAGAGAAGCAAGTTAACCATGTGTTTAAATGGATGATAAAGGAGGATCTGGACCTTTTCCTTGAACATTTCCAAAAAGATGACTTCTAGAATAGTTGGACTCAGGGATAGGTTCTGCAACACCTAATGATGAATTTGGATATTTCAATTCTTGACGACCTATGGAACGTTAATCATCAACAAATTCATAGAGGAGCTGCTGAACCAACCCATGTGTCTCAGGAGCCTCTCACCCCTAATATAAACTGTTTCTATTATGGCACAGTTTAGGATGGTTACAGTAAACTAGATGCGAAAGCCAAAGAGGAATACCAACCAGCAGAGGAAACTTTAGCGGATTCTGCTCATAAACAATCTTAAGAATGGGCGACAATGGAAATGAAGATTGACAGCTCTGATGCCACAGATGTTGCAGTTACAATGGAACAGCAGAATTTTTCAGGTCTACTTGCTGTTGAAATACCACCTATACAACAAGAGAGGTCCTTTAGAACATGCCAAGAGCATAAGAGACAGGGCTCTCATTTTAATTCTGGATTGCTGGGTCATTGGATGGTATTATCCACATCTTGAATTGAGTTTTAGTTTGACTCTCGTGTCTCTCAATATATCCTCATAATAGAGGGCAGACAACTAGTTAAAAGCACTCACTACCATCTTTTGGGTTACTGTAATCAAATAGTGGGATTTTACCGTCACTCGTACCACGTACCCACGGCCCCAAAGTGTAGAGCGGGATTTCAAAGCAACAAAATGCAAACCATGAACCTTTGAATTAACAGTTCGACATGCTAAGCACTAGATTACGGAGTGGAATATTTGTACTAAATCTGTTTACTTTTATAAGATTCGCATTTGTTTAATAACTCGTAAACCAAATTGCTCCAATACAAGGTTTACGATAGTGACAACCTGCTTCGTGTACTTTACACTTGTCGATGATGTGAGTTTTGTGGCTACTTGCTGAACATGTTTGCACTTCAAAATATGATTCAAAGCTACCAACATTTGCTTTGTTTGTTTGTTGCTAAACGCAAATCTACTCAATGGTTTATCTGTGCAGTGCCCACTGCAGTGATAGAACTCCGACTTTCAAGTTATAAAACCTAAAAGTTACCTCTATGCCATCGAATGTATCAACTTTTTTTAAAGTGGTTTACTATTTTCTCTATTGAATGCCACAGTGCTGGCTACATTAACACAGATAGTATAAACAACAATGTCTTCGAACATTCGATTGTACAGTGATTGATTACGTTATAGCAAAACGAATGTGAATATGACATCTGGAAGTCACGTGACACCCACAACTGATATAAAATAGTAGTGGAATGTCATGTATCAGCTACATTTTGACGTTGTTTTGCGTAGAGTGTTATCACGGAAAATTGACCATTTTTGGAATGGGTTATATATAAAAGCCCTTTCCAACACAAAAAATTTACATACTAAAATCAGAAAGATGTGTTAAGATAAGGAATTTTGAATTTCTAAGACAGGGATATGCATTGAACTTAATGGAATTGAAAAACAAAAGAGTATGTATCAACTGGGGGCTGCCTTCCCTCTAGTCTTTCACAGCAAAATTTGGAACAGCTAGCGCAGATAACCCTCGTTTAGCTTTGCACGAAATTCAAAACAAACCAAACCTGAACACGTATTGAAAACTCCTTTTCTGTTTTTTGAAACTGTACAAACCGACATAGTTTCCATCGCAACGGAACTTCACCTTAGTTTGGTGATATTTTGTTAGAAGAAAATACGTTTATGAAAAACTTCCACCACAATTACAGTTTCGATCTTTTTTTTTAAGCTAGCAGAAAGCTTGCTTTATCATTATATACTTCCTTTGAATTATGATGTTGCAGTATGATAGGAAAATAAATGTTTTCGTGGTAGATTTAGTTAAATAATTTTCGCCAACAAGGCTGCTGTATTAGGTCATGTTTACATTAAGCTTTCTCGGCAGAAGTAAATGCTTGAATGGAAAAAGAAAGACACCAAAAAGAAATGTAAAAAAAATATATAAAGTAATATAAAATGGGCTTAAACTTATTACATGTATTAAAATAAACCTTGTGATTGACAATTTAAAAAGGTCACCTTGCTTATGATTTTGCTGTGGTAAAAGAGCTATTTTATGGCAGTGATCGTAAACATAGTGACACTGTTTATGGTATTGTTTAATCCAAACAAAACTAAAATATACAGTTTTATGTTTTACTTAAAAATCAGTAATAAAAATATTCAACGAAGATAAGCATTTTAGAATGAAATATTTTCGAATTTTGAAAATTGTGAATAGGTATAAATATTCTATACAAGAATAATATATTTTATTTGAAAAAAGCCACATAATGTATAAAACGTTCATCCGAAGTTTCAAAATGTTTCATTCAGTAGCTGTCTTTTTTTGCAGTGCAATAAATCAAACCATATAACAGGTGGATCATTTGAATTCACTTGGGCATGATAGAGTTAACGCGCATGGAAGCGAAATTTTACACAGTTGGTAGTAATGAAACGTCTGTTGATTCTTTAAGGATTGCAGTAGTTTGAGACGAAATTAGAAGACCACTTATTTTTAGGTTTTGCATCATACTACCAATATTTTGTGACCAATTTCTTTCAGACAGCTACACCACTGTCTGCAGTGGCTAATATTTATACATGTCTTGGGTAGATGTATGCTAGTACTTGAAGCATTTTTCGTTGAGGCACTGTTGTTAGTTTGTTCTCATCAGGACTGTCCATTCATCTGGGTTAACTGTATAAACAATATTGGAATTGGAACGAAATGGTCAGAGATATAGGATGGTCTGAAGTATGTTACCGTGCTGGCAAATTCTGATCACTGATATTGCACGACAAAAATAGAAATACGTTGTCAAGTAGAAGGTTTAGTATTTGAGTAAACCATTCGCCGTTGAAATGCCTAATGTATTTTAGTAATTAAGTATATATGATTGCATGTAAAAATAATGATCCTGTAAGAGTTAACAACATTTTACACAATGTAAGCACGTATTTTCACTGAATGACGAAATACTGAACACTATACCAAAGCCAATGCAGCAGCTGAGATGGCAAACTACATGTGTAATGGCAATTTTACTTGTGGTGAAACAGGAAAAAATAATTATTCAGAAGCACTTAGAAGAGCAAGTGAATGACACGGTTATAAGTTGTATGCTGCTTGCTGTACAGCAGGGCGATATTTCGCTATCACAAACTGGCAAGTGCAGACCTGACAGGATATAAGTTGTATGCTGCTTGCTGTACAGCAGGGCGATATTTCACTATCACAAACTGGCAAGTGCAGTTCTGACAGGATATAAGTTGTATGCTGCTTGCTGTACAGCAGGGCGATATTTCACTATCACAAACTGGCAAGTGCAGTTCTGACAGGATATAAGTTGTATGCTGCTTGCTGTACAGCAGGGCGATATTTCACTATCACAACGTGGCAAGTGCAGTTCTGACAGGATATATGTGTATGCTGACTTGCTGTACAGCAGGGCATATTTACACTATAACAACTGGACAAGTG